TAATAAATAATAAATGATAATTGTAATGTCCAAAATGTTTTACTGTATTTTCCCTTTTTCGTTTAATAAATTGGGTAATACGAGTGTAATGGTGACTAAGGGGTGTTTTTTCATGTCCTCTATGCTCTAACTACAAAAATATTTGATTTACAAATAAGGAATCTACTTCGCGGAATTTCATTTATCACGGTAGGGTCTAGAACCGATTAACCGTGATAAACGAGGGTTCACTGTATTTGTTTATTCTTCTTCGTGTAATCTTCACTCCTTTTTCACTTTTTCTTGTTAGCCATCATTTGCATGTCTCTATTTTAAATAGCTTATACAATTTCTTATAAAATCTTTTTTGTTACTTCATAAATTTGAAACAAAGTCAGACCAAGAGAGTATTGTTAATTAATTCATCAATTCATTCTTTGAAAATCACTTATTAAATGTCTACAGTGTAGTAGACACTCTTCTCTCTCCCTGTCGTGGAGTCAGCGCCGACTCACAGTGACCCCTGTGGGTTTCTGAGACTGCAACTGCTGACTGGAGTGGAAAGCCCAGTCTCCCTCCTGCGGAGCCGCCAGTGCTTTTGAATTGCCGACCATGTGAACGCAGCCCAATGCATAGCCACCGTTTAGGGCTCCACACTACATACTATGCTAGGTGACAAAGTAAACTTAGATGAGCCAGGTACGGTTTTACTGTTAATTGTCACACAATCTATTTGGTTATATAAACATGAAAAAATGAATGATATTCTCTGAAATCATGCCAAACACAAGATTGATCAGTGGACGCGCTGAGCTGCACAGGTGGCTGGGGTACTGTGGGGCTGGAGTTAGATAGGGAAGGATGGAAGGAGTTACAGATTGGATGGGGAAGGAAAAGTAAGAAAGGGGTTTATTTAGGCAGGAGAAAAGTATTTGTGAATGAAAAATATTTCATGAAATATAAACTACACACCCCACAAAAAAACTGAACAAGACATTTATCATCAATTTGTTCTGACTCATGGCAAACCCATAGCTGCAAAGCAGAACGACTTAATAGAGGTTTCAATCTGTGACATTTCAGAAACAGATTGCCTTTCTTCTGAGGCATCTCTGTGTGGGTTGAAACAACATTTTAATTAATAGATGGACCCTTATCTGCTTATATGGCTCAAATACTCCAGGGAATGTACAGGGGACATTAAGTAGTAACTTTCCTGAAAACATATTTAGAAAACAAAACATACGGTAGAAGAATGATTTGATACATTGGAGATATAAGTTAATATAAATATTTAAATGTTATGAAGACTATGATAAAGAATCATATTTAAAAGTTCCTTGTAAAATTGTGTCTGTGTTAAAATGAAAATTAATACTAAATTAAGTATATGGGCAATATGAAGAAGGATAACAGCTATGCTACAATGGGGTGGTTGTAGGTGATCTCTTGTTATGTTTATTCCATGTTGCCTTCTTTTACAACTTTACAAATGTCCCTATGCAGGCATCACCACAGTGCTGACCATGACCACTCTCAGCACCATAGCAAGGAAGTCCTTGCCCCGAGTGTCCTACGTGACTGCCATGGACCTCTTTGTGACCGTGTGCTTCTTGTTTGTCTTTGCTGCTCTGATGGAGTATGCCACTCTAAACTACTACTCAAGCTGTAGGAAACCTACCATCACAAAGAAGAGAGCCTCCGTGAGTTATCGTGAGGACACTGGGATGATCATTTGAAATAAATACACTCTGTTTAGATGTACTTTTATTTCTTTGGACTTTGTTAAAGATTATATAAATATATGCTTTAAGTAATGGACGGATTTTTCTGAAGACATGCATGTGAGTCTCAGTCCTCTGTTCGATTTTTGCTGATCAGTCTCTCATTTAGTCTTTCCTTAAAAATCATTTTAGCTCAGGCTGGTCCCTAGAATGTCATGGTAGTTTTAAAATCACTCTTTTCTGTGTTTCTTACAGTTAATGCATCCAGATTCCTCAAAATGGATTCACGAAAGAATAAGCCTGCAAACCCCCTCCGTATGTATAACATTACAGGTGCAAATATTTCTGAGAACTTCGACTAATCTAAGCTTAAATATAAAAGATGTTACTCTATATGTATGCATGTAGTATAGATGAATGAGTAATGCAAACTCCTTTTAAATTGTTATTTATTTTTAATTCTCAGTACAGAATGTTTAGAAGCTAGAGGAGAAAATTAGTCATAATCCTTCCACAGAGTGATTACCCAAAACCCCCACAATCATTGAGTCAATTCCGACTCATAGCCACCCTATTAGGGCAGAGTAGAACTGTTCTTGAGGGTTTATAAGGCTGTAAATATTCATGGGCACCCAAGAGCTTTTCTTTCTCCCAATGAGCAGCTGATAGTTTGGGACTGGTGACTCTACTGCTGGCAGCCCAACTCTTCACCCACTATGCCACCAGGGCTCCTGTGATTTAGTGTATGATATATATATATATTTCTAACTTTTTAAAGATTATTTAAGTATATATATGATTATATTTTAGACAAATGAAGTTATGTATTTATATTATTTCATAACCTGCTTTTGTCACTCAATATGTTCTTAATTGGTTTCTATATCATAAATGATATTTTATATGGTAATTTTAAGTATTGTAACATATATTCATATGTAATGCACAATTAACATGAACCTGGCTTGGATATTGGGGTTATCTATGCCATTTCACAATTTTAGATATTCTAAATTCTACATTTTATATACATATTGGTTACATACTAAGTACACATTTCTTGAAAGTTCAGAGGGTTTGCATGGTCATTGCCAAATGGCTTTATTAGCAATGTCAGAACATTTACCTTCCAAAACTCTGTGTTCTGTGTGATTGCCAAACAGAAAAAAATGTGACCCCATAAGTGGCTCCTAATAATTTTCTTTTATTATTGATAACAAATATTTAACTTATTTTTATTTGCATTTGTTTCCATTAATTGCTTTTAAGATTTTTGAAAGTAGCAATATACCAGGTATTTACATACCACACATTGTGTACTATGTTTTAAATTACATACCACTTTTATAATCATATTCCACACATTAAGGACAGTAATTTGTGTTTTTCCTTGTGCCTCTCTTGCATGTCTGATTTCACTTAGTTAAATTTACTCATCTTTCCTTTTGTGGTTTCTGCCTCAGTAGCCTGCTCAGGAAGATGCCCTTTGCTCTTAGAATGACGTAATTCACCTGCCCTGTCCTATGTTCTAAGTGCTCTTCCATCTCAACCTATTTCACCCACACACAAAAAGCCAACATATGGATGAGGAAACTAACCTATCTGGTTGTGTCTCTTAGCCATCACTCTAGACAGCTGCAAATGTATGCAACCAAACTTTTATCCAAAAGTAAAAGGAAGATGTTCCTCTGTATGAAGATTTCTTGGTGAAAATACAGGATACATTCTAATACTGAGCGGCCACTTTCCCAACACTGTGCCTCTCTTGGGCAAATGAACTAACAAGCCAGTCTTTCTGTTTATTCGCCCAAAGGAAAAAACCCTAGGCAAAAAGTCACATGTGATTTTATTTTTCCATTACTCACCCGAATTTAGAAATGCATTATTTTAACAAACTTGTGGCCCGTGGGCCTTAGTTTGAGGATGCCTGCTTTATAGGGTTTCTAAGAATGAAACCTTTGTGGGAACATCAAGCCTTATCTTTCTCATAAGTGGACTTGAACAACCAACTCTGTGGTTAAGGGAGAATAATATAACATGTAAGTGCTAGCTATAATTCAAGTGGGCAGAACAGAGTAACAGGGACTTAAAATAACTAACACAAGTATGAAAATATGCTCAGCCTCTGCACAAATAGTCTGAGAAATTCAATTTTTAACTACTATAACATGTTTCTCTATTTGATTTGCAAATTCTTAATCTATTGTCAACTATTGAAGATGTGGGTGGGGTGGGTACACTCTTTCAGTTTAATTTTCTATTAGACATACTACACACTGCTCAATATACTTCAGGCTATTTTGGTGCGGCTCATAATAATGTATTATTCTTATTGCCTGCAGAACTACTCTCTCCTTGATATGAGGCCGCCCCCACCAGCAATGATGGCTTTGAATAATTCCATGTACTGGCAGGAGCTTGAAGACACTTGTGTCTATGAGTGCCTGGATGGCAAAGACTGTCAGAGCTACTTCTGCTGCTATGAAGAATGTAAATCAGGATCCTGGAGAAAAGGGCGTATTCACATAGACATCTTGGAGCTGGACTCATATTCTCGGATCTTTTTTCCTACATCTTTCCTGCTCTTTAACCTGGTCTATTGGGTTGGCTATCTATATCTCTGAATGTGCCTCATAGCAATGAGTTCACACCCATTACACTGCTCCACTTTTCCTCATCTGCAGCCTGAAATGACCACTGCAGCTACAGTGACTACAAGTGCCCATTCGTGTTACCTTTGAACATCACCAGAAGTATTCAGCAAAAGTTTTTATTATGTATTACACATACGCACACTGAGTTTTAAAGACCTTCTTGTTAATCCTTCCTGAATCTGTAGCTTGGTGATTTTTAGGAATGATTTTTGGATATTAGATGCAGCTGTCTATTACCATATAAAATAATCTATAAAACAAGTAGGTAAACATCTGAGAAGCTTTCCCCATCATATGTCTTTCCTTCTGTTGTTCTCCCTGGTGCCCCAGGTGCCTGATCACTGCAGTCCTAGACACCGGTGGATTCAGCCTCCCGCTTGTTGTGCTTTGAACTCAAGAGAGACCTGCAGTGGGTTTTGACCTCAGTTTCCCTATCTCTGTCCTCTTTTGCTCCACACCACTGCAGTTAGCCTTGAGCAAGGCTTGCAATGGGTGTACATGTATACAATCCAAGATATTTTCAAAGTTCTCATCTTGCTGAATCTATTACTTCAGCATCTTTGGTTGCTGATTGTCTCTGAACATTAAGCTCAACCCCAAACTCACTGCCATAGAATCAATTCCAACTCATCGTGACCCTACAGGACAGAGTATTAATCTTTATGGAAGCAGAAAGCCTCCTCCTTCTTCCTGGAGCGGCAGGTACTGTAGAACTGCCGATCTGAAAGAGCAGGTAGCAGTCAGCGACCCACATTGTAGCCCATTATGCCACTGGGCTTCCTTTTCTCTGAATCGGAGGCTGTTCTTTTATTTCAAACTATGGAAACCAGCAGATTCCTGAGTTCAATAACATTACATCTTAAAAGTTGTCTTTTACTAGAGCAAATCTCATCACAGAGTATGTACCTAACATATGTTATATTAGCATGTATTCAATAGTTATCTTCATTTTCCAGAGAAATTTATACAATATTTACAAGGTTTTGTCTTGAAAATGTACTCTAAGGTGTAAAACAACTATGTATTGATTTTGTAAAAATTCTTAGTGAATATTGGTTTTTAAGTCAAATTAACTTTAGATGCAAAAATGAGTAACTATCATCAATTATATGTTTTGATGAACAAAAATTATTTTATACTTTGAAACATGGATCTATAGTAAAATCCCAAAGAAAATAAATCATTATAATTACTACTCTTTTGATATTTTTATAACGTTAAACCAACTTGCTTCTTGATATTACTTCTTTGTTATAACTGAATGCCAATATGTATGTAATTCATAAGACTCTTGATGTTTCTCACCATTGATAAAAAGAAGTAAAAACAAAACTAAACTAAACAAAAAAACCTATCAGTTAGCACATATTTGGTACTAATAACGGAATTAATACTTTGGCTTCTGATAACTAAATTTTTGGTACCAGAACCTCTTCCCATCTTTCTCACACAAAAATTTGGTTGGGAACCATAATTTTTAAAAAGTTTCTATTGTACAAACTATTATTACTCAGAAAAGAGTAAGATGCTATGCAGAGAAAGGATATGTAAATACTAATTCCATAGCACACCACCAGACCTAGTAGGGGAAGTGAATGAATAAGTCCAAATTTTTTTTTTAATTTATAGGAGTTTTTTATTATTATTAATGTAGTTAGACATCAATTGAATACAAAAATATATACAGAAAGACAGGATCTTCCCAGTTATTAAAGAATAAGTCTATATAGTGTGAGATACATAAACCACTTGTTTTCCTTCCATCAACTCTCTGACTTTTGATTTGTAAGTAGGTACATATACCATGAGTCAATTACCTTCTATTTACAAACTTACTGCCATCAACTCGATGTCAACTCATAGCAACCCTGTAGGGTAGGATAGAACTGCTCCTGTGAGTTTCTGAGGCAGTAATTCTTCACTGGAATAGAATTCTATGTCTTTCTCCTGAGGAGCAGGTGGTGATTTCGAACTGCTGACCTTGTAGTCAACAGCCCAACATATAACGACTACCATGGGTCCTAGCTTCTATTCGTCAGTTCCAATGAAAATAATAATGATAACAATAAATGTTTGTGGAGGAGATGGTTGAAACTCTTGGCTTTGATGAAATGTATGCTCTACTGGAGAATGGCATGTCCTCGTTGACTAGTACTGTCTTTGACCACACACGCAGCCCCTTCCAACCTCCAAAAAGGGAGCCAGTTGCTGGAGGGTAAAGTAGCTTCATTTGCTGTTCAAGTGAGTTCAAGGTGAAGCTTATTCACCCTTAACTTACAACTTTACAAATTTATAAATTCTAACTCTTTGCTGAATTTCAACCTATTAGATTTTTAAAATAATTATGAAAGCTAAATTTTCTAATAGCACTCTTCTTGCAAGGAACGGAATCTAAAGACATTTTTATAACATAGATTTAGCCTAGTTTTAACTCAAACAACTTTATTGATGTATTTATTTTGAAGCCACACAACGTAGGAGGTTGTTGTTGACAAATCTCATGAAATTCTTCATGTAGTACATATATGTATTCTGTTTCTGAATCCAAATATATCTTCTACTTAACATGTTGTCCACCTAGTAAAATTGCAATAGTTCATCGTTTCTTTTTTTTTTTTTTTAGGGAGAACCTCCCAAAAGTGAATGTCACTAAGAAAATATAGATTTATTCTTGGTTGTGTAGAAATCTACACACTACTGTGTTTAACTGGAAAAAAAAATGGCAGAAATCTCAGCGCCCCAAAGGCCTCTTCCTCACTGAGCTTGCCTAGTGACTCAGTGACGTTTGTAACCTCTCTTGATTTCTCCATGTGAGTACCAGCCCCTAAGATGAGCTTCTAAGCTTACAATCCAGCATGGACCTGTGCCAAGCACAGTTCAAAGTGAACCACTCCTTTAGATATGTGCCACCATTGTTGGAAGGAAAAGGAGGAGGCCTGCAGAAAGCTGGGGAGGGAAACTGCAGCCATCCTTATACATAGTAAGGGTATGCGTGGGAAATTTAGTGATAAGACGGTTCCACACAGAGCCCCATCTCCATCCAACACTCGGAGTCAGCATATTTCATATGCATAGCTAGGAAATATTGTTGCTGTTGGGTTTGCAACCGGGACATAGAACCTTTACATCAAAGTAATTTCCCCTGAAGACACCTTGTTTTCGTAGAAGTAACTTTTTAGGCATGTTGTTTTGTTGCTCTGGACAACACAGGAAGATAATCTGTGATTTAATTTTTGCACTAACTCATGCTTGAAACAAAGGAGCCTTGGTGGTATAATGTGTTATGTGTTGAGCAACTAACTGCAAGGTCAGCAGTTCAAAACCAACAGCCAGGATAAAGATAATAAGAATAAAAAGGATAAGAATTCACTCATTATTTGGGGGGAAAAGAGAGAAAAAAATTTTTTCTTAATCTTTTTTTCTTAACCTTTGAGTGTTTTGAAGTCTAATGATGGAGGTATTTACACTTCTCCTTTAAAAATTTTTTTTCAATTGCAAGTTAACAATTTCAAGATATAAGCATGACCTACTTTTTATAAGGTCAATAGGGAAAATATTTCTTTTAATTTTTTCTCAAAATTTCCTCAAGCTGGATAATGTTCCATTTTTAATGTTGCTAATAAAACACATGTATACACTGCTCACATAAAAATTAGTCAAAATGTTGGCCAGATAAAATAAATCAATACTAAGAACTCATTGAACAACTCACTAATACAACGTCAATTTTTTAACCTAATCAATTTTTCAGGTTATTTTATATGTGAGGGCTTCAAAAAAGTTTGTGGGGAAAGAAAGGAAGTAAGATATAATAGAATTTTTCCTTGAAGTTTTAAAGCCCCTTGTAGCCACATTGCGCTAGGTCATAATCAGACAACAACACATACCACCCAATACATATACACAAAACGCAGGCATAGCTAGAGTTCAGAGCATTGAAGTAAATGTAATATCTTTGCTCGCATTATTCAGATAGTCACCAGCTTTCTTCATTCCCACTTTTGTCTCTGTAAATACCATGTCTGTCTGTGAAAAGGACAACGGTTCTTGTTTGGAAATGACAGTAATCATTCCTATTTGGAAACAACAGAAGTCGCAGGGCGACTGCAAGTATGGAGCCCTCATTTGGAGCCGTAGCTGCTGTAGTTTGCTCTTTTCTGATTCTTGGCGTTCCAGTCGCTTACCTTGACATTTGTCTTACACCCAGACTTCTCAGCCAGAGTGAATGGCATTTATTACTTCCAATTGGTATTTTCTGAGATGCCCAAATCAGGACCCTCCAGCAAGACAATGTCAATCTTTTCAAATGACTGTATTGCCAGGAGTCATCCCCACCCCACCCCCACAAAGCATTTAGTTTCCATTTTCCATTGAGCATCTTCCTGATACATAGCACTTTGTAAAGTGGATTCCTCAAATCACGTTTGAGAAAAGTTCCTTTGCTTCTTGTGCTGAGTTTTTCCTTTATGGACTGTACAACCATCAGGATCAGGACAACAAGGCGTAAAACTATATGAAGCCAGGAACTATCGGTACCCTCTTGTCAGGTAAGTCAGATAGGCTGAGTTTCCCATCAGGAAACTGGAAGTCACGCAAGCAGGTTGCCCTTGGGAGGATTTTGTGACGTTTCCAGGATGATCCCCCAGTGTCCAATTACTCCGTAAACAAGGTAAGCAAGGGCTTATTTGTATTTGCTGTGGTCAAAAGTTTCACATTGTTTTCACCACATCAAGGATTTTTCCCGATCGTATTGGCATCTGTCTCTCTCCCAATCCCACACCACTTTCCTACAGAATCAAAGCCTCTTTTCAAATTTATCATCCTTGGCAGGCATTAGTACCCAGTAAACAAGGTAAACACAGAATTACTTGGATTTACTTACTTAACTGGAGTGGATAGTTTCACATGGTTTACAGCATATCGTCTACTGCCTTCCTTGTCCATAGTCTAGGCTTTGCATGCATATGAGGCGATTGAAAATGCCATGGTCTGGGTCAGGTGCAATTTATTCCTATTTGCTCCTGAACGCCTTTGAGAGGTCTTTTGCAGAGTTCCCCACTGCAATATGTCTTTTGATTTCTTGACTAATGTTTCCATGGGTGTTGATTGTGGATCCAAGTAAAATGAAATCCTTGACAGCTTCCGTCTATTCTCTGTTTATCATGATGGGGGTTTTTTGTTTGTTTTGTTTGGGGGGTTTGTTATTTTTCTTTGAGATCTGCACCCTGACTGACGGGGGAAGCCTTTCTTCTGAGGTCAGCTCCCACATCCCAGCCTCCTCTTTGAATACCTCTAAGGCATCCTCAGCTTCTTACCGGCAGCTCTGAACCCCTGCTCCTCCTAGAAAACATGTTCCCAGTTGTTCCCCACCTCAGTCAAGTCTTACAGGCAAGGTCGTATCAGCCCCAATTCCGACATCATCTCAGACCCTCATGCCCTCCTCTTTCCAGTCCACCTCAGGTTTGGACACTTGTCTTTGAAACATTGCTCACCCTCTGCCCACTTTTCACCCCTTTCCGGCTTCTTACGCTGCTGTTGGAGAAATACAACAGCTCCCACCATTTTCCTCGTCCCCGCTGGCCCCTAACCTCCCCTACCCCCAAACAAAAAACAAGTGATGCATCCCAAACCTATTGATTGCCCTACGTGGATTCGGACTCACATCCACACTACAGGACTGAGTAGAAATGCCCCAGGGGCTTTCCAAGGTTTCCAGTCTTTGCAGAAGCAGACTGCCACACCTTTCTCCAGCGAGGCTGTCTTGGGCAGTTTGGTTGGCAGCCAAAGTGGGCTTAGGTAATATACTTTTTAAAAAATCACCCATAATAAAATCTGCTCTACAAATCCAGAGGTCCAGAGGCGACAATTGTCCCTGATTCCACGGTCCCCTTCCAAAATGAGCATTCATGCACGTATTTCATTCCCACGACAGCGACCCATCCTGCTCGGAGGCTCCCTTGTCCCTCTTACACACCATTCACAGACGCTCTTCCTCCGTCATCACAAGTGGACTCTCCCTTGTCTATGAAGCAGTGACTGGCCTCCCAGGCAGTGTGGCCATTCCCTTGCACCAATGTCGAGAACCT